CGTCAACACGCACTTGGCCATGAACATCGATTCGTACGAAAGTCTGACGACCCGAATCGGACGTTTGCGATTGAGAAGATGTGGTTCAACTCCAGCTTTGACAATCTTCGTCGCCTACGCACCAACATCAAGCTACGACGAGGATGAGCTCGAAGCGTTCTATATGGAATTGGAGAAGTTCTACAAGGAAGATCATACCTTCTTCAAGGTCATCGTCGGTGATTTCAACGCTAAGATCGGACCAAGAAGAACGGCTGAAGAACTTCACATCGGAACTCACGGAATGGAGTGGAATGAGCAGGGTGAAAGGCTGTCTGAGTTTATCATGTCGACCCATACCATCCATGGTAACTCGCAGTTCCAGAAGCCCTACTCTCTACGCTGGACATGGGAGTCTCCTGGTGGACAATTCCATAATGAGATCGACCACATCATCTTCAATCGAAGGTTTTGCCTGACCGATGTCGCTGTTGTTCCTACACGGGATCCGACCATCGTCTCCTTCGCGCAAGATTCCGCTTTTCGATGCGAGGAGAGAGAGCCGCAAAGTTCAAGAAGCGAAGCCCCAAGACCGTCATCAACTGGGATCACTTCACTTCTCTCGCTGGGCTCTGGGAGGATTCCGTCATCGACAACATCGACGAGGAATACGAACGGCTTGTCGCACACCTTCACGACTGCGCCAAGAAGTCAGAGAGTTCCAAGATTACCAAGAAGCGTCTATCTCTGGAAACTCTCGAGCTGATTCGCCAACGTGGAGCCGCACGAGCCGCAGGCAATTACCAGCTGACGTCTGAGCTTGCGAAGCTATGCAGAGAAGCGATAAAGGAAGACCTCAAGGAGAGAAGAGCAGCAGTACTGGTGGAAGCCGCAGAGGCTGGGAAGAGCATACGCAACTCCTGTCGCGACTTCGCCAAGCAGTAAACCCAAGATGACCACACCCACCCCTATTGATGTCTGGACGAAAAGATCACCGCATCTAGAAGGGCAATGAAGAAGTTATCCACGACTTCTGATCTCTCTGATAGCCACGTCCGCCTATCACCGTACCGCCTGGAGTAGAATGGATAGTTGTTCCTGCAGCCTTTCCTTCTGAAATCCGACATGCCATTCCGTCGGTGAAGAATCGTACGGCACCCGGTCCCGACAGGATCAGACCCGAACATCTGAAGAATCTTCCGCCAGTTCTCGTCAAAACTCTGGCTCGACTCTTCACGCGCTACCTGTCGGAATGCAAGGTACCCACCTCGTGGAAAACCAGCAAGACTGTGTTGCTGTACAAGAAGGGAGACCTGCACGACGCTGGTAATTGTCGCCCAATCCTGCTCACTGTATTCTACATTCTGTTCACACGAGTCATCCTGAACATTGTTGCGAAGAGGATTCAGCACGATCGATCACATCCACACGGTAACGAAGCTCATCGAAGTATCGCGAGAGTACAAGATGCCGTTATGTCTCACGTTCATCGACTTGAAGAAAGCCTTCGACTCCGTTGAGACAGAAGCGGTTATCGAAGCCCTGGGCAACCAGGGTATTCCTACTCAGTACATCAGGATTCTTCGTGAGCTCTACAGCAACTTCACGACCAAGATCTCACCATTCTACAAGGAGGTCATCCGACGTGAACAGAGGGGTTTGACATGACCACACCATCTCGCAAACTCTTTAGCGCCATTCTCGGGAACGTTAACGTTAATTGTAGTGGAGGACATGGGAGTGAAGATCGACGGTCGGCAACTACACCATCTCCGCTTTGCTGACGACATCGTTTTGATAACACCAAACATCGAGCAAGCGGAACGAATGCTGGCTGATTTCGACTGCGCGTGTGGAAAAATCGGTCTACGGCTGAATCTAACGAAGACGATGTTCATGAGAAACGGATTGGTTTCTGATGCCCCATTCACGCTCAACGGAACGACCATCTCTGAATGCTCTAGCTATGTGTACCTGGGTCGTGAAATCAATATGATGAACGACTTAGCACCAGAGCTGAGCAGGAGGAAGCGAGCGGCTTGGGGAGCCTTCAAGAACATCGAGGGAGTAGCGAAGAAGACGAAGAACACCAAGCTCCGTGCCCACCTCTTCGATTCCGCGGTCCTTCCTGCCTTGACTTATGCCTCAGAGACTTGGACTCTACGAAAGCAGGATGAGCATGCGGTTGGCGTTATTCAACGCGCCATCGAAAGGGCGATGCTCGGAGTTTCCCGCTACACGCAAGTGAGAGAGGGAATCCGGAGCTCCGCACTCCAACGATCGAAGATCAGAGACGCCGCCGCATTTGCCAAGGTTTCGAAGATCAGGTGGGCCGGGCACGTCATGCGTTTTGACGACCGCTGGATCAGAGCGACTGGATTCCACGGGATGTCAAGCGAACGCCTGGACGACCGCCTATGCGATGGTCAGACTTCTTCGTGAAAGCTCTGAACGAATGGTATGAAGTTCATCGTGTCCCTCGAGCGGAGAGAACCATTGAGTAACTCTTAACTCTTGATGCAGGGAGAGACGCACCAGGCGTCCGCTTGAAGAACTCGATGATCAACGGGGCGCAGGTGATACAGGTGATCTTCGCAACCAGTCTGGACCGTTTCAAGAGGGATGGATGAGCTCACTCGCGGCCGTTCCCACCATTGGTTGTTTTCTTTTTTTAATCCATCACTAATTTATCAATGGTAGGGCAGGGCAGCCGGAGCCGGCTCATTTCGTGCCTCTTGATACAACCTCGACTGATTGCGACGTAATCAACTATAACAAATGTGATAGTTGAATGGATCTGCGTTTTCTTGTGTCTTGAAAAGGGATCCCTAGAAAGATGAGTGCAGTCTTCTGCAAAGGAAGAAGAAAATTTCTTCACGAAATGCCTTTTGTCCTTCGATAATTGGACAGCGAGAACAAGTTCGAGATTTCTTTCAGTTATCAGCTGTCAGCTTTGGAATTTTGTATGAAATCCACGTCTTCCATGTGGAGGAAGCCTTTAATCAATGCTATAATTTTCAAATCCCCATTAAAAGTGCTATTTGCTCTTGTAAAAAGCCCTTCGCGAAATACTTCATTTTACTTCCCATTTTGCAGCTACCATCTACCCAGTGCCCAGTCACTCGACCTGCTCATTAGTCATCTCAACGGAATGGGCCTGTTAATCAAGACCGCCACCATTCCCAAATCCATGAGTGTTTCCTAACAAGCTCTTTAAAGACAAGCTGTGCGGATAGCTACAAAGTGGATCCGTGTCATATGAGAGGTGAACGGGTCCGCAACTGTAGAATATTCCACTTTCGTCGTTAAAGACAGCTCCCGCGATAAAAGTGGATAGTTGCTTTTCAATTATGAAACAGTAGCTGATAAGTAATCTCCCAAAGAAGAAAACAAGCAAGAAGCGTCCTCCAGAACAACATAAACAAAATCGCTCCCTCATAGTCACACCTCCCTGCGGTCTCTGTGCAACCCCTAGCTCACAAATCTCTCTATCACATCTCGCAAAAGTTGATATCATCCAGTGCAAAAAAAGAATACAAAAAAACAACAAAAACGCAGAGGAAAAACTCTTGGAAGGAAAAAGAAATTTTAAAAACTCGGTGTCCGAATTTTGGGTTACGGTAGCGCACATTTTAGTGCACTGAAGTGCGTCGAGCTTTTGCACCACGAAAATTGCGTCACTCGTGATTTTTACGCGTTTCACCTCGCGAAATGGGTTGAGTTGAATGTATATGCCCCCATGAGTAAACTGTAATAAAGGAGAGCAGAATTATCCATGGGCACGAGTGCGGTCAGCAAAAAGGAGATGCAATTCCGATTAATGCCCGCCGCCCCAACTAAGAACAACTGAGTGGCCTCGTCGGAGGGCATCTAGCAAGTAAGGCGGTCCAACTGAGCAGGCGTTAGAACTAGAACTTTGAGCGGCTGTAGCTCGCTCCCCGCTCACTGTGGAGTCGAATAGAGTGGGACAGTCTCTAGCTTGGGGGCTGTACTACTTGCACAAGGAAGGACGACCATGTACTACTCGAGCGCGGGGGTTTTCTTTAAAGAGGTGGTGAAAAGAAGCTGGAGCGTAGTAAATGGTGATTGTAAGTTGCGGATTTAGCCGACGTGCAGCATGTGAGTCGATGCCGAGCTCTTGTAGCGAAGAGCATGAAGGACAAGCTTCGATTGTGGTGAAATGCAGAGAACGGTGGCGCCCTCACCCAGGGCGAAAGAAGAGCGACTGGCTTGGTCGGCCATATATTTGGTGGTGCTGCGTTTCTCGCTCAAGAAGCGTTGGATGACCCGCGGATGGCATCCTGCCGCCACTACCCTAAAGCCTCATTTCCCGCACTTTCGAGTGGCACACTTCTACAGCTGTGTACCTGTTCACCTCGCGCAACGCACAGACCATGACTTCTTGAGGTGAGTGCATGGCGTGTTTTTGATCTTGTCTGTTAATTTGCACCTTCTTCGCGGCTCACACTTCTTAGACCCGTAAGAGTTTCTTGGAGGATGCTTCTTTACATAGTTCGGATTTGTCTTGCTTTCAAACTAGCGGCACTTTTCCGTGAAACTTCGATTCAACTGTTTTCGCCCATCATAATAGAAGGCATGTCTGAGTGGCCGGTGGGTCATTTATGTCTGCTACTCCACATAAATTAATCTGATTTCCATGCAGAAACGCAGAGATAATAGAATAGGTCCACTGCTATCCAATATTTGTGGTAGCTTTGGTAACTGATCCGCGCGTAAGAAGAAATTAATTTGCAGAAGCTTTTCATGTTCTAGTTGAAGACATTATAGTGTATGTAACTGGAAGAGTGTGGAAACTATCGAGCAAGATTATTATGTTGTCGCTTCAGCCTTGAGTAATGTTTGTGCGTCCTCATTTATGCTTTAGTATAGTGAATGATGAAGTGAAAAAATGTCTTTTTCTTTCGTATTATTATATGTTATTTCCTATTTTTTTCTATTATTTTATTTTCAGTCACTTCAAATTCGTCCTTCGTTGAAGGAACGCGATGCATTCAACAGGTTTAAATGTTGCGAATAACAAAAGTCGCCGATGTGTATCCGAATAATTTGGTGCCTAGCACCTTCAGCAGCTTGGAAAGCATATTCTTTATATCTGATTTGAGAAGACTAGTTTAATCAGTCTCTTACCGGTACCTGCCTTCTATTTACAAGTAGCAGCCCCCACAGATTGCTCGCCTCATGGGACGAACCAAATACCCACGCATCCTAACCGTCTTTAAATAGTAGTGGACGCATAGTGACCATCACTTCATTTGATATCACAAGCCCCATGGCACTAGTCACGTAGTGAGAAAATTAGTTGCAGAGCGTCACATAGCCCGTCCTTACTATTCATTCCTGGTGATAGCTTTCTTGTTTCCAAGGCTTCCAGTAGTTTCTTTCCCAATGTAATTGCTATTGAGCGGTGTAGCACTGTAATATTACGCGCGGAGGGGCTTTAATATGCATACGTTTTGGAACGCAGTTCTGCCTTTTGAGTTTACTTACTTCGCTTCCATCTCGTAGTTACAAACTTCAGCCACATTTTTCTTCGTCCTGTTTTGAGTTGGGGAACAGGCGTTTGAGATTAGGCGATGGACAAAACATAAGGACGGGTACTGATGAATTTCTAACTACCTTGTTAACTCTTAATGCCGTACTCCCACTGAGATAGCTTTGCAATTTATTCACTAACTACAGTTTATATCACCGGGACCTGTCAGGTTGCAGTCGGCGGTTCCCACATGCGGGCTTCCCACCTGACTCCTTACTATCTCGATCATTGCTCGATCACCATTGGTAGAGCAAGGCGGCCGGACGCGAGCTCGTGCCGCGCTGCGCTCGCCGCCCCGACAAATTGCAATGTTACAAACTATACGTGACTAGCGCCATTTTGAGACAGGAGATACAATGACCGTCATTATGCTTCCCTGCTTCATACAAGGAAAGTAGGAAGGGTAGGGTACCTACTCGGGGTAGTCGCCAAGTCGAAACGGCCATTTGTAATGAGACAAAGGTCACGGGACGTGTTTTGGACGCTGATCTCAAATCTGCATTCGAAATTTGCAGAACGATTCTCTGAACGGAGATATAATGGTTTGCACGAATGAAAGGAAAGGTAGTCAAGCGCGAACGCCAGTCATTGCATGAAAATCGCCAAACGCACCGATTATCATCGGCGGCGTGGTAAATTATAAGAGTCTTGCCTTACATAGATAAGACGAAGGTTCGTGTTTCGGACTGGACGTTTTTTCTGCATTCTGTGAGAGTGCCTCCCTCAAGTCTAGAAAACACGTTCAAGCGTTATTATCGTTATTATTAGCGTTATGATCGCACTTCGTCTGAGTAACCCTACAGGATTGGGCACATGCGCCTTTGGAGACTTCGTTAGCGTGCAGGTGCCATAGCATACGCGTAATGTTTTCGCAAAAAACGGAGATCATACTCGTGTTCAGAGAGCGAAGCTCCCCTGGGGACTGGTTTCCAGCCAAATGCTAGGTTTTGACCAAACTTCGAAAAGTGAGGTAACAGTAGGAGAATAGCACCAGTTGTGATTCCAAGCCCAGTCTCTTGTCGATTGCTTGCCTCCGGATGGAATTCGCTTCAATATATCAGGAAAGCTGGGGCAGTAACAGAAAGAATGCTTCGTACAGCATATGTGGCTGAAAACATGAGCTGAACTGCATCCCATGGATGCTTCACTTTTCAAAGTCGGGTCAGAATGCCAGATTTGGCTAGAAACTTGTACCTAGGCGTAGTTTGATTCACTGAACACGAATATGGCACTCGCTCAAAGATAAAGCGAGTTTTTTTTCTCGTGTCCCACTACCACCTGTTCACCCAAATCTTCTTCGCTCTAGCATAGTAACACGCAACGAACTCCTTTTCGAGCGATGAAAAGATGATAGGGGATATGGAATAGCTTTCACAAAGATGATAGGGGATATGGAATTCTGGTCGAGAGGCGAGATAACACCATGTATAAACAATGGTGTGCTCCATCTCCTCCTCTGCGGACTTCAGTCCCAATCCTCCTTCTTCTTTGTTAACGTAGAGTCTTGGTACACAGCTGTGGCCGAATCGCAAATGCGATTCTGCTAACAGCTTACGGACCGACTCATCAAACGCTCTTGCTTGCTTTCTCATTGTGCAGAACTTTCCTGTTCCATAAATTACACACGAGATTGCATATTTTAGTTTTGGGATCACCACTTGGTTATACCCATTGACCTTTTGGCGAACCGCAAGGTCGCTGAGCATAATCCTTCGGGCTGCGGCCAACGCTTTTTCTCTAGTACGAGACCACAGTTGATCCACACTTACAAGAGCGTTCTGTTCTGCTCCTAAATACTTGTAGAGCGAACTTGAACCTAGGACAGGTATCTCATCCATCCCAGGTGTTGTGACCAGTGGCGGGGGGTGGTTCAGTGAATTCACAGCACACTTGCTGGGATTCATTCGAAGTCCTAACTCTCCAGCCACTTTCTGGATGCCCTCTTGGGCTTTCACTATATCATCCCATCTGGGCGAGTAAACCTTTAGATCATCCATATAGAAGAGATGGTTGATCTCTAGGGGTCCCTCTGGCAAAGTCAGAGCTCCGGTGGATGTTCTATACGGGCTAACGTTGTTACGTAGCCACGCCGATATAGGAGCTATGGCCATACAGAAGAGGAGCGGACTGAGGGTATCCCCTTGCATCACTCCTCTTCTGACCCCTAACGGTTCACTCTTGACCATTTTGCCATTTTGACGTCCGCAATACCTGACGCTTTGCTTGGACATGATAACCGAGAGCAGCCTCCTTGTAGGGGAGGCCACTCCGGCTCTTGCCAAGATCCACTTAATAGCGCCATGAGACACGGAGTCGAAGGCTTTGGTCATGTCTACCCATAAGGTGTGTAGTACGTTTTTGCGCCTTAAGGCGTCTTTACAGATAGTCTGATCCAAAATGGCCCCAGATTCCTTTGCGCAAGGCAACCTGCTCCGGAGGGAGCACATCACCAGCGCTCAGGAGTATCTGTTGCGCTACCATAGCGGTCAGGGACTTTGTAGCATGTATTTAAACATGCTATCGGACGGAAGTCGCCGGGCCCGCGGGCGCCGGCGCTCCCTTTTGGAATCAGAACTATCTTCCCTCTACACAACCAATTAGGGATGATTCTATGAGGCATACGTAGCGCATCAAGGCACCACGATTTTAGCCTCTCTCTTGCCTCTGGTATTTTCTTCCACCAGAAGCCCTGTATGCCGTCTGGGCCTGTTGCTTTCCAAGGTTTTATCTTAGCGAATATCTTCGCCCAAGTTTCCTCGGACAGGTCTACAGCGGCTCTATTTTCGCCTCTTTGCACCGAGCGAGACCACGCTTGAAGGTCGTCTGACGGATGGAAAGGTTGCGATTCTCCAATGATAGATTTCCAGTGCTCGCGCACTTCCGCAACCGGTACATCAGCTTCCCCTTCGCGTGGTTCCCTAGCTACAGCAGGGTATCCCCGCTGTCTTTCTCGCTGGCGCCTTAGGGCTTGCTCTATTGTTTTGATTTCAGAGTTTACAACCTTCAGCTGATCCTTGAATCTTATCCGGAGTCGCTGAATGTCCACGGTTGTAGTGACTCTTTGTATTCGGGAAATGACCCGGTACTGTTCACTAGGAGGTCCCGGGGCATTTCCACTTCTTCTCCTGAGTTCGTGCGATAGCGTCGAGACGACACTCACGAGGGTGTCTCTCAGTGCTTTCGCCTCTCTCAGTTTCTGGTGAGTTTTACCCGCTTTTTCAGCCTCGCCGTCCAACAGGATCGTTGTGATGGCTTTGGCGATGGCATACACTGCAGCGTTCAAAGCTGTCAGTGTGCGCTTATTGGTGGAGTTAGTGTGCCCCAGCTTCTCTGAAAGGATTTCATTTGCGAGCTGGAGCATGCCCTCAGGTATTTCTCCTTTGGGCCTTCTTATTGGTTGCCTGTCATGCGACTCTTTGGCTGCCTTGTAATAGGCATCGAATCGCTCTCTGAGCTTATCGCCGAGAGTCCTATCAGGTTGGCTCGTTTCCGAGTCACCATTAGGACTAGTTGACCGTTCCTCGATATGCTCAACAGGCTCCACTCCACCCTGCTGACTGTCCTGGTTAATCAGGTCAGTTTCTGTAGTAGCGGGTTGACTTTCCTCCTCCAGCGTATTTTCTGCTGGTGGGGCATTTCTCACCGTTCCTCGCTCAGTACGCCTGGCAAGGTTCGCGTAAGCAGCTTTAAGGGCCGCTTCTGTTCTTTCTGGGTCTCCGCTTGTTCGTGAGCTTTCCCAGGCCGTAACCACGTCAGCCCACATTATGCGACCGCTCGCTATTCTGTGTCTCTCGACCAGTTCTGCGAGCTTTGTTAATTCGTCGGCACTCCACAGTACACCCTTGCGGCGCTCTCTTCTGCGGTTCTGAGCTTCAGGCTCAGAGGGCCTTTCAGGTGAGCGCCTGGTTCGCGTCGAGGATCGGAGTAATCTAGCACTCCTACGCGGTTGAGCTTCGGTAGTAAGGGCAGCGTCATTCAATAGAAGACTACCCGCCCCTCTAGATGTTATAGCTCTACCTTGATCCTCAACAGTGGGTGTACTAAGGGTTTGTCCGAATGTTAGGCCAGAGATTGTTATGCTACTCAAGTCGGTGTAGCTGCCCAGGCTTGATGGTACTTGTTCCACCTCATCTACGGCAAACCTAGTGCCAATCTCAGTTGTTTCTATGGACGACGCTTCAATGAGAACCGCACTTTCCGGCTCTTCATTTGGCAGAATCTCGGAAGTCATTTCTATGCCGCTCGAAAGCAGGCTATCATCATGACTCGATGTTAAAGATTCTGCCGCGTCAGTCAGTACAACTAGTGTCGCAGTCTCAGCGGATAAGCTAGTGGTTTGTCTGGATGTAAGATGAGAGGTCTCATCTACGGAACTCTCATCCGGTGAAACAAGAGCCTCTACTGTACTACTCTGAACAGAGTAATCACCGAGGCTTGGTGTCACTTGTTCCACCTCATCTACAGCAAACCTAGCACAATTCTCAGTTGTTACCATCGGCGACGCTTCTCTGAGGGTCATCCTTTGTGATCCCTCGCTTTGCTGAATCTCGGAAGTCATTTCAATGCCGCTAGACAGCAGGCAATCATCATGACTTGATGATTGTGATTCAGCTGCGTCTGCCTGTACAACTGGTGCGGGTGTACTAGTAATTTGTCTGGATGCATGGAGAGAGATCTCACTTAGGGAACTCTCATCCTGGTGGAGTATCGGGAGCCTCTACAATGCTACTCAGAACTGAGTAGTTACCAAGACTCGATGTTACTTGATCCACCGCATCTACAGCAAACCTAGTACTTAGATCAATAGATGCTTCGGGCGACGCTTCACTAGGGACCATGTTTTCAGGTCCTCCATTTGGCTGAGTTTCGAAAGTCACCTCAGTCCTGTTCGAAAACAGGCTGCCAGAATGACTTGAAGTTAGTAATTCAGCCGCGTCTCCCAGCTCTATTGGCGTGGCTCGTCCCCGTCTTTTGACGAGCCTTGCGTAAGTGCCCCTAAGGGCCTCCTTACTTCTTGGCGGGTCGTTCGTACTGCGTGAGCTTTCCCAAGCAGAGCTCAGGTCATCCCACCGTACTCGCCCTTTTTCAGTTTTGTGCAGCTGGACCAACTGGACCAGCTTGTTCACTTCGCTGTCGCTCCAATAAGCACCCCTTCTACTAGAGGTAGTGCTTGTGGTAGCTCTCTGAGACGCACTGCTTGTTTCCAAGCAAGTGCCAGGACTTCTAATTCCCGGCGTGGCAACGCCTTCAGTTCGACAGCTGGTCTCCGGCCCAGCTACTGCGGATGTTTCCTCACTCAGCCGAGTGCTTTGAGCCTCAGTCTGGGGGATTCCGCTTAATGCCCGTCTGTTTGCTTTGACGAGTCTGTTATAGGTTGCTTTCAAAGCACCTCTCGTTCTGATGGGGTCGCACGATTTCTCGAGTTCGACCCATTGCACGCGCCCCGTGGCCATCCTGTGTCTTTCGACCAGGGAAACCAATTTGTCTTGCTCGTGTACAGTCCAGGGTAAACTATTTCGTGCAAACGACTCTTCGCGACTTTGGGAGCGAGTCCCGTTCAGTCTAGCGGAGTCGTTTCTGGACTGATTTGAGGTATGAGCAGTCCAGGGTAAAATATCTCGTGCAAACGACTCCTCGCGACTTTGGGAGCTAGTCCCGTTCAGTCTAGCGGGGTCGTTTCTGGACTGATTTGAAAAAGAAGAAAAAGAAAAATTAAAAAAAGGGACCTTAAGAGATCCCGGGTAAAGGGGGCTTCCGGGGGGATTTTCCGGGGCCCCCTGAGCAGGGCCATTTATTCTCTTATTTGACTGTTTCGTAGCAATTGGGTTTTTTACAGGAGAGGGGTCGCTAGCCCCAATCCAAACCCTCCTCCTTTTGCATCCGGGCTTGGGACCGGCAAATGGCGGAGTTCCGGTTATCTTCATTGGCCGCCTCATCTCATTAGGACAAGGATCTGAGCTGGCGCGATTACAGCTCATCCGACCATGTAGTATAACCTGCCCATTGGGTCTTTTTTCAATAGCAGCTAGGTTTACATCCAATGCCACCGCGCAGACCTCCAGACGGTCTAACCAGCAAACCGCGGAGTATACCCTAGTATCTCGAGTACCACGTTAACTACGCTACATTGGATTTCGCCCAGCCCCCCTGTACTGTGTCCGTGACGTGTTGGGGCCGAACCAGCCGATCCCAACGGTTCCCATGACTGCCTCATCGCATGTGAAAATGCTTTGCGAGGACTTACGGCAACCTGTCACATTCACAGTGGCGGAGTTGCTTTATTTGTTATCGCAGATGTGCTCTTACTGAGCTTCGTTGGCAATGTAACTCTAGGTTACTAAGGCCAGATGTTCATCACTCAGTGGCTCTATCTGCGAAGAGGGCATCTTGCTATTGAGCATCGAGAGTTCAGTAGACAAATTTACTGAAGCTTGATGTTCATGGCTCAGTAGCTAGGCCCATTTGCCTTTATACAGCGGTCTCTGTATCTTCCGCTGTTCGGCTTATTGCCTGTATAGAGGCATCCTTCGTCCTCTACAGGTCTTACCTTGCCTTTGTACAGCAGTCTCTATGTAGGACCACTATTCGGCAAACTAGCATTGCAGACATCGACTGCTGTGTTTCGAGAGTTCCAAGACTAGAAGCCTATTGGAACTAGACCTTCACAACACAGCAGTGTTATCTGCAATTGCTAAAATGACTTACAGAAAAGGCCCTGTAGAGAAATCCCCTATCTCTACAGGGCCTATGTGTCATTGCCTATATAGAGGCATCCTTCGTCCTCTACAGGTCTTACCTTGCCTTTATACAGCAGTCTCTATATAGGACCACTATTCGACTAGCATTACAGACATCGACTGCTGTGTTTCGAGAGTTCCAAGACTAGAAGCCTATTGGAACTAGACCTTCACAGCACAGCAGTGCCATCTGCAATTGGTTACCTTGCCTTTGTACAGCAGTCTCTATATAGGACTACTGTTCGGCATACTAGCATTACAGACATCGACTGCTGTGTTTCGAGAGTTCCAAGACTAGAAGCCTATTGGAACTAGACCTTCACAGCACAGCAGTGCCATCTGCAATTGGTTACCTTGCCTTTGTACAGCAGTCTCTATATAGGACCTACTGTTCGGCAAACTAGCATTACAGACATCGACTGCTGTGTTTCGAGAGTTCCAAGACTAGAAGTCTATTGGAACTAGACCTTCACAACACAGCAGTGTTATCTGCAATTGCTAAAATGGCTTACAGAAAAGGCCCTGTAGAGAAATCCCCTATCTCTACAGGGCCTATGTGTCATTGCCTATATAGAGGCATCCTTCGTCCTCTACAGGTCTTACCTTGCCTTTATACAGCAGTCTCTATATAGGACCGCTATTCGGCAAACTAGCATTACAGACATCGACTGCTGTGTTTCGAGAGTTCCAAGACTAGAAGTCTATCGGAACTAGACTATTTTTCTTAGATGAACGCTGAAATAGTAGTAATGCTAGAACCATATTTTGCCACGTTCCTCCAAGGCGGGAAATTAAGCCCAGCAGTGGTCCAGTCCTATGATTACTGCTCGATAGACGCGGAGCAAAAAGCTCCATAACCACGTTTAGGAAATCGTTTCTCATGGGCGTGGTTTTGGACGCTAACATAATAACATCATAACAAACGGCCACTTCGACCAAGCGACCTTCCCTAGTCAGTCGTTGGTGCGGCGATTGTAGGATCCTTCAACCTTCCCATGGCGCGCCGAAACGCTTACGGTCATTCTTTGCTGCTAGCTCAATATTGGCCGCGGTCCTCACTACGTAATGACCTGAGTCGACATCTGCGGCCTTAGTTTTTTTCCACTAACCAGGGAGGTCGTTCAGGACGTGGCGCGCTTTTTGAAAACGGTTTTTTGCATGATGTGGGGTCACGTGCATGGAGTACCAAACTGGTGTTCATTTTTCCTGAACGCCTCTGGGAATACCAAAAAAGGAGTGAAAAAGAAGTCCATGGAAACCGACTGTTTTTGAGCCTCAGTGGGCTCTAAATCCCTTGCAACTTTGACTATTTTCTGAGTGGAGGGTCCTTATAAGGTACTATAGGAATCGAGGAGGAAAATAGTCGCAAATGGGGTCTTACTCGAGGCACGTGATTAAGAGTGAGCGGCTCTGAGCGGCTCGTCAGAGTGATTTCTTCAACGATCGGAGCGGTGTTCAGCTACAACGATCGGATGGCCTAGTGGATAGCGTGGAGGATTCTCAAGCGGACAGTGAGGGTGGGGGTTCATGGTTCGACTCCCCTCGGCTTGCGAGTTTTTGCATTTTTTATGTTCCGCTGTTCTCGCTTCCATATATGTCTGTTTATGAATTTTACGCGGATAGCTACCATTTATAGGCACATTCTAAATAGTTATACCCCATTAGTTGGTGCTATTCAACAATTTCGATTTTCACATACGATTAAGCAAGAACTTTTCTGAAAGTTGATCTTTATATGTTATTCAGTGCCCTGATCACGACTATGGCATTTACTTTCAGCTGTAGTGCCATTTATCCCCAATTTGGAGCCACTTCTTTCTCCAACTGTAGTCGCTATGTACACTCATTTGAGGGACTTTCAGTGCCTTTCTGACGACAGATTGCGTCAGCGCCAAGAATAAGTGTCAGAATCGTGATCAGGACCATCGATTACCCCTATAGGCAAACTTTCAGCCAAAAATTTTTTTTGACTTTCTTCAGTTTGTGCATTGGGTTATGCTCAAGAGTCAATCTACTGAAGTCGTACTTTTGCTGGTTACCGAAACCCTCAATCAGTGGTACGGAGACATAATACTAGCAACACGATAAGAGGTCATCGAAAAAAAGAACAAAAGGGTTATCATTCCTCCAGGTGCATTTGAAAAAGTGAAGGAAATCGAATGAGTCTCTTGGTAGGGGAGGACGACATCTTGGTTGAGCGAGCAGTCGCTAGGGGTCGACAAATGTCCAGGATGGTTTTTCACTTGTTCTGCGGCCACCCATGCCCATGCCAAGTATGAATGGACCTTATGAGCACCGAATCCGCGATACGGCTGCCGGCGGCCCGCCACGTCATCGTTACGTCATCACCGCTCCAAAGGTGTGAGACTCCGGTCATCACTGCCGACCAAATGGTCTATCACAACTCAAGAAAGTCAAAAAAATTTTTGGCTGAAAGTTTGCCTATAGGGGTAATCGATGGTCCTGACCACGATTCTGACACTTACGTTGCGCAGTCTGTCGTCAGAAAGGCTGCTGACGCAATCTGGCGTCAGAATGGCCCTGAAAGTCCCTCAAATGATGTACATAGCGACTCCAGTGGGAGAAAGACGTGGCTCCAAATTGGGGATAAATGGCACTAGAGCTGAAAGTAAATGCCATAGTCGTGATCAGGGCACCGAATAACATATAAAGATCAACTTTCAGACAAGTTCTTGCTTAATGGTATGTGAAATCGAAATTGTTGAATAGCACCAACTAATGGGGTATAACTATTTAGAATG